GTGCAAGTGGTATAGGGGAGTATTACCCTCTCTGCCCCCCTTGTTTGCATGTGCTCACTGGGGTTGTCCCATCTGTTCCTTATTAGGGACTCAACAGACAAGCTTCCAGGAGATTAATTAATGCCAAGCTGCTGGCAGATCCAGCAGCATGCCTACCCCAGTGTCCCGTCCTGGCAGCACAGATGCCCAGCTAACCCCAGAAATGCTGCTCCATTCCCACCAGTGATCCTGGAGACACAGGGGCCATGTTGCTGGCACAGCCCTGCCCCTGAGGCTGGATGGCAGAGAAGGCTTAGCTGGTGGCAGGCAGCCAGAAATAGCTGCAGGACATCCCACCCCCAGGCCGGCTTCCATCACCTACTGCAAACTTCTCATTCATCCCTGGCTGTGCCCTGGGCTTGCTGTGTGAACTTAGCCATGTAGCTTACCCTCTCTGGGCAACTTTATTTTCCCATCTATAAAATGAGGGTGTTAGACTGGTGTCATTGCTGAGATGCCCCCTAAGTCTGAGTCTTTGTTACCTGATGATCTGCCTGATTTGGAGTGGCCCTGCTGGTACCTTCATTTCCTGCTCCACATTTATCAACCTTGGTGCCCCATGCTCTATGTCCCAGGCCCTGGCAAGTTCTTTCTGTAATTAACTCCTGCCAATGCTCAGGACATGGTGGCACTGCTTGGCTTAGCCTGACCCAGTGGCCTGTTGGGGCCAGGGTCCTGGGCCCCACCCTCACAGACTGGCCCAGTCTTCCCAGCTTCAGGGCCAGGGCGAGGCATCTGCCTCCACAGTGGTCACCTCCAGCAAGCCAGGCACATTCCTCAGTCTTATCTGGGGGCCCGCCCCACTGGACTCTGCCCTCCCACCCAGGAAGCAACACCCAGAGGAACTGCTGAAGAGTTCCAGGGGCTGAAGAGTTCTAAGAGAAGGGCCTGAGCAGGTTTGAGGGGATGGTTCTGAGTCTCCTGCCTGGGGCTGGAGAGAACCAGGTACAGGACAGGGCCTGGCAGAGGGACTTGGAGGTCTGCTGAGCTGACACGGCAAATTGTCTTTAACCTTGGGAAGTGTGGGTTTTACTCAGACAGCAGACTCTGGGCCAGCTCTGGGACTCCCCTCCCCCATCTCTGGTAGGCTCTCCCCTGGGGGCTCCTGTGCCTGGGAGGGAGATCTGCCCTTGTCAAGTTGCCCTAAGTCTGCCTCAAAGTTATAACAGGAGATAGGGCCACAGGCCCAAACAGCTGAGGGACAGCAAGCAGCTCCTGGGCCCCAGACCAGGGCTCCCAGCCATCTCCCGTCCTTGGTCCCCACCTCCATGGTGGAGCCGGAGCAGGAGCAGGAGCCGGAGCCTGTCCTCCCAGGAAGGGGTTAACTGCCAGCCACAGCCATGAGGGAGGGGACTGGGCTGGACCATTTTCCTGCTGCTGCCTCCACCTCGGTTTTCCTGAATGGTTCTGTCGTCCTGGGGTGGGGAGGGAAGGGAAGGAAGAAGGGCGGAGGGGAGAGGGAGGGAGGGAGGAGTGTGGGAAGAGGAAGGAAAAAAGAGAGGAGCGATACAGAGAGGGGAAGAGAAAGATGTTATTGCCTCTAATCTCCCTGTCATTTTTATTTCCAGCAGGCGCTGGGCGAAGGAGCTGCTAGAACAATGCTGAGGCTGCCTAGGTGAGGAGCAGCCCAGCGCGGCAGCGGGCAGCCCCGACGACAACGGACGGAGCGTGTTGAACAGGTGATCACAGGAGCCGGAAACCGAGGCCACCTGGGCATCCCTCCCCTTGCCTCTGCCAGGACCCGGCGCCCCAAAGACAGTGGGGAAACCATGGCGACCAATTTCAGTGACATTGTCAAGCAAGGCTACGTGAAGATGAAAAGCAGGAAGCTTGGGGTGAGTGAGCCTTGGCGGGGCCCTGCCAGGGATGGGTGCCTGAGGACTCGGTCTGGAGGCATGGTGGGATGGGGGTGCGCCGGCTGCCAGCATGAATCGTGTGTCTGTGGTCTCGGGGCTTCTCGCCAGTGGCTGCCTGGCATGTGCCTGGGCCCGGCTCTGCCTGCTGCATCCCCCACCCCACCAGGGCTAGCTGGCATCCTAGCCACTGGGCCAGCAGTGGTGGTGGCCGATGGGCAGGCGGGTCCCTTGCTATTGTTGAAGTTGTCGCCACAGCAGCAGCAGCAGCAGGAGTGACTGGAAATGCTGGGCTATGTCTGAGCAGAAGCCCAGCTTCTCACCTTCCCTCCCTCCCCTCCTTCTCATCACCTCGTCTTGTCTCCCCTCACCTCTCCTGGCCTCTTTTCTCTTAAATACATCATCTCCCCCTGCTTCCGACTGCTTTCTGCATGTGGGTATTCATCACATTTTGGGTTGTTGTTCTTAATGTTAAAGAAGTGTTTGCAAAGGAAAGTGGTTTGTTGGGGGGGGGGTGTCCAGAAGCTATTTATGGGGTTTATCAGTAAGAAGTTCGGGCAAATGGCCCATTGCCCTGGGACAGACTGCTTCCCTCCAAGTTGTTGTCAGGTGGCTCTGTGCTTGCTTGATGCTTGGCCCCAAGCTGAGGGCTTTGAGGGGCTACAGAGACGTGGACTTACAGGGCATGTACCCCCCCCCGTATGCCCCCAATGGTAAAGACACCCCAGAAGGCATGAGCAGGGGCCCCAGGGACCAACTTAATGATCCTGGTGAGGTTGAGAGAGCTGCCTCCATTCTCTTGCCAATCCTCCCCCCACCTCCAGTGAGAGGTCTGGCAGCTGCCCCCTTCCCAGTATGAAAGAAAGCCCTAGTGACTGGGTGACTGAGATCACCCAAGTCTTGTGTTTTCCCCAGAACCCTGTCTCTCCTTGTTCCCCACCCCATTGCCTTGATGGGGTATGCTCAAGGCTTCCTGGCTCAGCCTGAGTGGGGTGGGGGAAGCTGAGGACGGGAGGAGCCAGGATCTGATACCTGGCTTCCCTGCCTGGGTACCAGACAGAGCAGAGCTGGCCTTGGAGAGGGGTGGTTCTTGCCCGTCCCCCCTCCTGTGGCCCCAAGGTTCATGTGGTGCATTCTGTCTGGGCAGGGGCCAGTAGCTTCACTGCCAGGTGGGTGATCAATCAAGCAGGGCTGAGCTGATGGGCAATGTTTGGAGTCTTATCTGGATTTGGATGTGTAGCCCAACCTGGGCCCCAGCCTGGTGGAGAATGGGCCTTGGCAGCCATCAGCCACTTTACTCTTCTCCTGAGATGGGGTTTCAGCCCACTGACTCAGAGTAGGAGCACAGAACAAAGAGAGAGCCTGAAGCCGGGCTAGGGAGGTCAAGGCAGCAAGGGCCCAGCTTCTAACATCGCTCCTTATTCCTATTGCTCCAGACCTAGAAGTCTCCAGGGGTCAGCTAGGCTGAGGCCCTGTCCAGGGCAGAGCTTGCTGGGAAGGCACTGGCCACATAGGCAGCCTCTTGGGTTCAGTCTCAGACCTGTTCCAGAAGGAGACCTGAGCACCCAAGTAGCCAACAAGTGGGCACAGCCAGGGGAAGGGGTTGGGAAGTGGGGTGTGGCCAGGCCCCGTCTATGGTCCACCCCCATGCAGGGAATTCAGCTTCCTTCTGCAGACCTGAATCTCACTTCCTCTGATGTGAGGGGCTGCAGTCACCCCCAGGCAAAGAGCTCAGGAGCCGAACCTCCTACCTGCCAGGGCCTCCCGTGGCAGAGCTGTCAGAGTGTTTCTGAAGCACTGATCAAAGACCTGTGAGAAGTGGGAAGGAGGGCTCTTGAGCACCGAAGCTCCCTGGGGCTGCGTGAGTGTGTAGCCTGTAACCAGGCAACCAGCGTGCTCAGGCCCCCAGGACTTCTGCCCCTGCTGCTGCAGGCTGCATGGAACCCAACCTGACAGGGTGTATCTGGGTCGGCAGCATTCATTCATCCATCCATCCATTCATTCAATGTCCCTTAAATGGTCATTCACTTGTCTGGAAGAGCTCTGTTAATGAGGCTACCAGGATATGAGTGAGGATTCTGAGATTAAAATACAGTTTCTGCCTTAAAGGAACCCTGCAGCTGAGAGCTAAGGGCGGCTGTGGTTTAGATAGATAAGCCAGGGGCTAAGCCAGGGTCAGGGGGTCCCAGACAGGAGCCAGAAACGGCCTGGCTCTGAGTGGCTTAGAGGGCATGGGGATTTGGGATTGGGACTCCTAGGCCCACTGCATCCTGTGAACCTGCCTGCCAAGGACCTGGCATACCCATGGCAGAGTAGGGCTGAGGAGGGGGCAGGGCCTTGGGGTTGTGGCCCAGAGGTCTCCCTTGCCTGCTCTGCTCTGCTCTGGACCACCCCTCAGCCTTCCTACTGTTTGCCAGTAAGAGGAAATCCAGAAGTGCTTGGGGAACAGGCTCTGCCAGGTTTTTGGAGTGCTTGCTGAATGGAGTAAGTAAACCCCAGTCACAGACTTTGGGCTGCAAGAGAGCCTGAGGCAGGAGAGAGGGGCTGTGGAAGGAAGAGTCCACAGCTCAGGCAGGTGGCTGGGGCCACCCCTCAAGGTGCCTGATAGGCTAGTTTGTCCCTTTAACCCTAGAGAATGGTCACTTCCTCACCCCTTGGCTCCTTGCCCCTCAAGAGGAGTCCACGAAGCTATAGAGAATTTAGGCGGTTTAAGTCACAGGGCATTGACAGTGGTTGGGACAAGGAGAGAACACACCATGCTGTGGGGGTAACCCTGGGTCCTTAGCTCTGCCCCTTTACCTCTGAGAGCCTCTGGTTTCCCAGCTGGAATAGAGAGGTAACTCTGCTCCTTATACTCCACGGTTGGTAAGAGGATGAAAAGAGAGGGTGAGGGAAAGCTCCTGGAGACAAGGGGGGCGGGGTGTTGCCAGCATCAAGAGCCCTCATGTGGCTCTGAGAACGAGGCTGGCAGCGAGCAAGGGTCTAATCCCTGTGCCTAGGAGATTCCCTTTGCTGTGACTGGTGCTACTGGAGTCCTGGCCAGAACAGCACGTACAGTGGACTACAAGGATCGGCTCTGGATCTAGACAGCCTGTTTTAAATACCAGCTCTGCCATTTATTAGCTGTTACTTAACTTTTTGGTGCCTCAGTTTCCCATCTATAAAATGGGGATGAAAATAGAACCAACTTCAAGAGTGACCCTGAAACTGAAGAGTGCGAATAACAAAGTGCATGAATAGAAAGCACAGTACATGTTAGCTACTTATATTAAACTCAGAGCTGTGCTCACAGTAAACGGTAACTCAGGAGAGCACCCTCTGTGGAACAGCTTTTTGGAACCAGCCAAGAAATGACTGCCTTTTCAATACTCGGAGGGGGCCTTCCCCATAGGGAGTTGTCACTGCTGGAGACTATCATCCCCAGGTTTGCTCCAGGACTGGGGCTCAATGGAAGGTTGTGTGGCACTGCCCTCTGTGGCAGGCAGGGATAACTGCAGGGCCATGTTGGATACGGTGGGAGTGGTCCAGGGAGGCCTGATCCCCTGTCATCTTGCCCCACAGATCTACCGGAGGTGCTGGCTGGTGTTCCGGAAATCCTCCAGCAAGGGGCCCCAGCGGCTGGAGAAGTATCCGGATGAGAAGTCAGTGTGCCTCCGAGGCTGTCCCAAGGTGAGGGGGCCAAAGATGATTTGCTGAATCCTGAGGTCCAAGAGCATACCCCCTCCTGGGGTGGCAGAGCTGTGGGGAATGCAGAGGGACATGCTCCAGCCTGGCTAAGTCCCTGTGGATGCTGTCCTAGGTGACCGAAATCAGCAATGTCAAGTGTGTCACGAGGCTCCCCAAGGAGACCAAGCGGCAGGCAGTTGCCATTATATTCACCGACGACTCAGCGCGTACCTTCACGTGCGACTCAGGTGAGGTGCCAGCATGCAGGCCTCCATCTGGCTTCCCCTGGACTGGTCGTGGTCAGTCGTCCAGCCAGAAAGAGGGAGAGCAGGGCTAACCCTGGCTGGAGATGATGATGTGTGTGGGGTTGGGGGGTGCCTGTGAGGGAGCAGGCCCCCAGGATTGAGGTGGGGCAGGCAGGCAGAATCTGCATGGTGGGATAACTGAGGCTGATGCAGATGGGTTGGCTGCGGGGTTACCTGAGTTGGCAGCATGATGAGGTATGATTTTCTCCAGAGCTGGAGGCAGAGGAGTGGTACAAGACGCTCTCTGTGGAGTGTCTGGGGTCACGGCTCAACGACATCAGTCTGGGAGAGCCCGACCTCCTGGCCCCAGGGGTGCAGTGTGAGCAGACAGGTGAGGCCTGGCCGTGGGGGTGGGGAGAGGGAAGAGGCCCCCATCTCAGGCAGCTCTGGCTCATTTGTCCTCTCCTGCTCCAGACCGCTTCAATGTCTTCCTGCTGCCCTGCCCCAACCTGGACGTGTATGGCGAGTGCAAGCTGCAGATCACCCATGAGAACATCTACCTCTGGGACATCCACAACCCCCGCGTGAAGCTTGTCTCATGGCCCCTCTGCTCATTGCGCCGCTATGGCCGGGATGCCACACGCTTTACCTTCGAGGCTGGCAGGTAGGACCCTCTCAGCTCCCCACCCCTATCCTGCCATGGTCATGATGGTGGCTTCCATTCACTGTATCAGGCACTGTGCTAGGAGCTTTATTTATTGGCATAGCAATCCAAAGGGGAATGTAATATTCCCATTTTACAGATGAAGAACTCAAGGCTCAGAGAAGTAAATTGCCCACGGCAGGAAGATCAAGTGAAGCTGTTTACCAAGTCAAACTGCTTGGGCTCAAATCAAATGCTGGCATTGGTACATACCAGCCATGTAATTGAAGACTGAAGCCTCGGTCTCCTCATCTGTCAAATAGGGGACAGTAAAAGTACCTAACCTCATAGAATTATGGTGAGGACTGGATATCCCTTAGCTTGAACTCTGGAGTCAGCTTGCCTAGACTTAAACTCTGTTTAATCCTCTTATAACATTGGTTGAGTTACTATTCTTCTGTATGCCTCAGTTTCCTCATGTGTAAAATGGTTTGAGAAAATGCATAATAATGAGGAAACTATTAACGGTGCATAGACGAGGTGGTGGTGGTTGTGAAAACAGAATGGGTTAATTCTTGTAAAGCATTTAGACAACCATCTGGCACACAGAAAACACTCAGCACATTTGTACTGTGTGGTCAGACTTCCAGACCACAGCCCTGCCTGTTCCCCAGAGGGCGTGGGGTGTAGCCACAGCTTGTGATGCAGGAGAGCCTGACCAAACACATGCACAGGAGTGGTGGGATCCCCACCACCTTGCCCTCCGTGCCACCTATGTCTCCAGGATGTGCGACGCTGGGGAAGGGCTCTACACGTTCCAGACACAGGAGGGGGAACAGATTTACCAACGGGTCCACAGTGCCACCCTGGCCATTGCCGAGCAGCACAAGCGGGTCCTGCTGGAGATGGAGAAGAATGTGAGGGTGAGGCAGTGGACATCAGTCCAGGGTACAGGGGAGGTGGGTGGGCAGACAGGCCCAGGAGCCTGGGGTCTGCCAGCTAAGTCTCTAGTTACTGTATACACAGTACACGCAGGCAGGGTCTTGGGCTGGCTGCTCAGGGATAATGTAAGCCACTGCCCCCAGAGCTAATGGGAGGGACCCTCTTCTCTGCCCCCCAGCTGCTGAACAAGGGCACGGAACATTACTCATATCCCTGCACACCCACTACCATGCTGCCCCGCAGTGCCTACTGGCACCACATCACGGGTTCCCAGAACATTGCTGAAGCCTCCAGCTATGCCGGTGAGTTGCTGCTGTGCCCCAGCCCCACCTGCCAGAAGGCTCTGTGGAGGATAAGGCCTACTGGGCAGGGGTCTTTCCACTTGGATCTGTGTTATGAGCCTGCTTCTGTACCCACAGGTGAGGGGTATGGGGCAGCCCAGGCCAGCTCAGAAACGGACCTCCTCAACAGGTTCATCCTGCTAAAGCCAAAGTCCACCCAGGGGGACAGCAGCGAGGCCAAAACTCCATCCCAGTGACAACAGGGTTGGCACACACCGATGACTGCTGGGGGCCACCAGTTGCAGGGCTGACTGCTGTGTACCGTGGACAGCCTCAAGGGGCCATTGGCCAAGAGCCTGGAGAAAGGGAGCAAGCTGTCCCTTCCTTGCCCCCAAGGGTGAGGCTGGACCAAGGCAAAGGGCTGGCCACATCACCTGAGCATGTGTGAGGGGCTAGAGCTACCGTGGAACTATATACTGTTAATGATTTTAATATATATGGCTTATGACATATTCTACATTAATGAGATTTCCCCCTCTATCCCTCCCTGCCAACACATACACATTTTTTAATCCCGTGACTGAGCCATGGTCAAGGCTGTTGTTGAGTATGAGGGCAGTTGTTTCCCTGTCCGTCATGGTACAGCCCTCCTGCTGCCAGGGCCAGAGAAAACGGACAATCAGAACTCAAGGCTGGTACTCTGACCACTGGCTTTTCCCAAGCAGTCCAGGGGCCAAGACAGCAGGTGGCTCCTCAGTTCCTCTGGGCCTAAAGTGGCACCGGAAGGATCCAGACTTCCACTGTGCCATCTGGCAGCCTTGAACTTGGGAGTTTTAGGCAGAGGTGACATCTGGTTGATGCCTCAGGTGAAAATCTGGTTTTAAAATGTAATTTCTGCACAGGCTTCTTCCTGCTTAGTAGGCTGAGAAGACGCCCTCAGGGTGGGGGTGCTGATTACCTTGGCCAAGTGGAGGATAGCTGGAGCTTGTTCCTGCCCAGGGCCAGGCCAGGAGGGAAGGCCGCAGCAGGACTGCTGTGGGGAGCACCCCTGCTGCCCCCTCACTGACCAGGGGTGGGCAATGCCCCACCAGAGGGAGCCCCTCTGCCCTGTGTTTGGCCACCCTACGGCCAGCCAAAAGCACTCAGAAACCAAGACCTTCCCATTTCCTCCTCCCCACATGGTGCTGAGGCTCCCTGCTGAAATGCAATTAAAGCAATTGATTTTCTAGTGCTGGTATTTATGACTACCATGCAGAAGGGCTATCTTTCTATTCTATTCACATCAAACCTTTAGTTGTTCGGGGTTTTTTTGTTTTTAATACTTTAGGGTTCTGATTTGTGGGAATAGACCTTGTAAATAACCACTATTCAAGTTGTGGCAGGATAAAGCAAAAGGCCCCCTCCCAAAGAAGCCCTAGAGCCAGGGAGGTGGCGTAGCCAGCTTAGCTCTGAACGTGACCCAGGAATGATCACCCAGAGGAATAAGCTAGCCTAAAGAGGGGAACTGGGCTCCAAAGGCCTTGGGGTGGGGGTGGGGGATGGGGAGGCAGAGCTGGCTGGCTCAGCTAGTGGCACGATGACGCATGAAGGAGATTTTGTTGTGCTCTTTATTGCCAAAAATAAAAACTTTTAAAAAGACAACTACTGTTAATCAATAAATACATCTCTTCCTTTCTGTACTGATCTCTGGTTTTCTCCAGGCTGCCTAATTAACTGCACTGGGTATGTTCCTACGTAGAGACAGTGCTAAGGGGTCAGGCCCAGAGCCCTCATTAAGGAGAAAGGAAATATGTGAGAGGGGGCCCTTGCTCTTCCCCAACTCCACCACTGCTGCCACCATCACCATCACCACTAAACTAAGTGATCAGGCTACTGGCAGTGAAAGAGTTCATTACTGATGGATAGAGAATGAAACACTGTGCTTATTTATGAGGGGAGGGGCCAGCCAGGGTCTTCTATTCCCAAAGGGTTACTTCTCAAATTAGGGACACCTGGGAATTCGAAGTGCCAGTAGGCTGGCCCTGGAGAAAGGACTGGAAGGGTTTATAGGAACCCTAAATGAAGGTTCTAGCACTCAATCCTAACACCAGAAACCTAAGGTACAACTATGAAGAGTCTTCCTTTTGGACAGAAAGGATTTAAAGAGCTGGAATGACCAGGAGAGGAGAAGTTCAGCTCAGTGGTTTTCAACAGGGAAGCAGTATGGCCCCCTACGAGCACATTAGGAAACAGGATGGAAGGCATGTTTTGGGTTCTGGGAGCACTACTGGCAATCAGCAGGCAGGGCCAGGGATGCTAAATGTCTAGTTAAAAACCGTCCTGTCTAAACACCAATGGCATACCTGAGATCTAACTATGACCCCCTTCTAGTTGGTACTGAAGACCTACCAAGTAACTTTAGCAACAGCAGTCCAGATCTCAGAAACCAGAAGAGTCTCAAGAGAGACCTGAAATCCAGCTGCTGGTTCGAATCCCCTTTTTGTTGAAACAAGCAAGCTGAAGCTAGTTTATAGTTAGTACGTCACTCTGAATCTCATGGCTTAATTGAGTCTGTAAATCACTCAGCTTCTTCTTCAGTCCAGAGAGGGCTGAGAGGACAATGGTTTCAGGGCGCAAAGATCCACAAGACTCCACGTTGTAGTAAAACCTGAGAGGCAAGAGTCCAGTGAGAACCCTCACGAGGCAGGCAGGCCAGCCTGAGCTTTGGCCATGGACAACCCTTCTTCCCTATAGGTCTTAACTCCATTCCCACGAGGAACTTGACCTTGGCCCAGGGCTGACCTCCCTTTATCTAAAACCTCTTACACAGAGTGATTCCAACCCAGTTTGTAGAACCTCAAGGAGGCTAGATACCTCAAAAAGGTACTGTGAAAATCCTAAAACAATTCTGTATGTATATATGTATTCCACACTGAGGATAAAGTAGAAAATCAAGTGAGCAGTGACTATGTGCTATATATAGCCCCTTCATTTTTGTCACTGGCGAATGAATTGGTCAGTTTCTGCCCCTAGCTTGGACCTGAAGAGCCTATTCTTTGGGGGCTGGAAATCAGAACAGGAGTAACTTGGATAATGAAGAGAGCCCCTCTTTCTCACAGTGACCAAAAAGGCGATAATGACCAGCCCTGGGATATGTACATATCACGGGTTTAGTTTAGCAGTTAACGGCCCCTCCTCGGCTTATGAGAACTGGGACATGAGGGAGAGGAACTGCCTAATTCAGAGCCTGCCCCCAAACCATACATTCTTACACACTTTACCTTGCCATGTTGGACTGGGGTCTTACCTCTCTGGCTTGCCGTTGGGGTCATAGGGAGCCTGGGACTCATCCTCATCCAACTCTGAGTACTCACTCTTTGGCCTGAGGTCAAACACAGGTCAGCACAAGGTTCCCACTATGGCTTTCAGGCACTTAGGTTCATAGAGAGCCTTCTTCATCTCAGCCATTAGCCATTTCCACCCTCACCCCCACCCCGAAGACTAAATGCCTGCCTTCACTCCCCACAGAACCATACCATTCCTCAGGCTTGGGGTACACTGTGTGCCTCAGGGCATTGTCTGGATCATATTCAAAAGCCACCCCTGCAGTAGGGTTCCACTTGGCATGTTCCTTGCCAAAGCCCTTTTTGGCATAGGCCCGAAGTCTCAGCTCCTGGCCCTTTCTCAGTTTGACGATGAGGATGTCTGCAGGGAGAGGTGTGAGTCAGTTAAGGGCCAGGAGAGGCATGGTTCTCCAAATTCTGACCTGGAGTGCCACTGGAAGACCACATACAACTGGAAAAATGGGTCTAAAGCCAATGAACAAGGAGACCAGGAAGTTTGGTCTTTGCTCCCCTCTAGCCCCCACAGCAACAGGTCAGGAGGACGTCTGCACACTCATTCCAGCCCCTTACCGTCCTGCTCCACATAATCATTGGGATCATTATCTCGGTTCCGGGATGTCACCTGTAGGGAGCCCAAACAGAAGCATTATTAGCTGCTCACCTCCCAGGTTACCTCCTCTGGCAACCACCTCCCAGCATCTCTAGATTGCAATCTGTCAACCAGGGAAAGGCTGCATGAAAAGAAGGTGGCAGAGTTGCATCCTAGGACTCCAACCACCACTTCAGGGTATGATGATGAATTTTTCAGTCAAAAAAATTCCATGGCCTTTAAAAAGATCCTTGAGTGACAGAGGGCATGCAGCACCAATGATGCTTCTACCCAAGGAGAATCCAGAATTAGCACTTCTAGGCATCAGTTTAAGGCAGAGGGTAACAGGGAAGGTCAAGATCTTATAAGCATCCACCCCAATCTGGCCCACTTAGAGCCAGAGAGAGAAGATCAAAGGCCCCGGGTAGGGAGGATGCTCTCAGACACTGACTGGAATGACCCGGGGGCTGTTAGAGATGAGGTCTCGAGACGTGACATGACGCGTCTGGTCTTCATTGCACCGCACGTCCAGGGTGAACTCCACCGAGCACTCAGGGCAGAACTCTTCACATGTGCAGTCCTGAGGCAGTAGGAGAAGCAGAAATGAGTCTGTGGAGAGTTGGTGAATCCTGACTTGGCTCCCTGCTTCCAATACCCAATTCCTTAAGTTTCTTCATCTATAGGAAAGGGTTAATCACAGTCTTCAGGCACTTGTGGCTGTGACAGTCTGGCATACCATTCTCATGTGAACATCTGCTCAAGTTTAGAGACAACCTATATGCATGTTTTCCACCCTCACCAGCTGCCAGGCTACCACCAGGAGACCAAACATCTCACTCTGGCCCTCAGAGTTCCTCAGAGAACCAAGGCTATTAGGGAACGAAGGATGCTTTCATACTGTATAGTTCAGCTTCCCATGAGCCAAGTGCACCAGCTTGGGAATGCAACCACCATTAAAATTAAAACAATCCACGGAACAATAGAAAAAAAAAAACTTTAGAGTTCCAGACAACTTACCTTTTCTAAAAACAACCTTTCTATTATGGAAAATTTCCTACATACACAGAAATAGAGAAGAGTATAGTAAACTGCCACCATGTAACCAGGACCCAACTTCCATAATTTTCAACATTTTGCCATCCTTTAAACAACCGACTCTTGAATTAGCCTATTCCCATGTTAGGGACTATCTGCTGCAGTTTAACTTCAGCCAAGAAGAGAGTTACTACAATGTAATCAAGCAAACTGTTCTCTCCCTCACACCAGTGAGGAAAACCCAACATACGTCTGATGTTTGTGAGATGATGAGAGAGAAGAAACAACTAGAGGTCACACCTGCATGGTCTGCAGTCATACACAGGTAAGGCAAGAAGGCGACCCAGACCCTCAAGATTGAATCACTCTTAGAAATATGACATGTTAAGAATCAAAATGTAATGAGAGATAATATGAGAAGGTACACAACCTCAAAAAAAAAAAAAAGTGTGCTGAAAGGAGAGGAACCTGTTCAAGATCAAAAGAGACTAAAGAGCTATAACAACCAAATGAATCTTGACTGGATCACAGACCCACAAACAAACAATAAAAGACATTCTGGGCGACAACTAAGAAAATCTGAATATGGACTGAATATAGACTTTACAAATTAATGCTAATGATACCTGCAACTTACTTTCAAATAGTTCAGCAAAAATAACACGTGAAAAATAAAGCAAATGTTAAAATATTAACAGTTGGTAACTATTTGTGAAAATTAAACGAGTGTTTATTATTCCATTTTTTTTCAACTTTTCTGTAGATTTTCAGAAAAAGCAAAAAAAAAAAAAAAAAAAAGATCCACACCATCTTCATTCACTAAATATAATACTAGAAAAAAAATTAAATGGAAGGAACTGTTAGGTCATAGGACATGCATGTCTTTATACAACATATTGCCAAACTGCTCTTGGTTGTACAACTGTCCCCACCAATATCTGTGATGTTTTATTTCTTAAAAACAAAAACCTGGAGATGTGAAACAAATATGGCAAAATGTTAAAAGATAAGTTGTGAGGTGGGCATTTGTTGTATCAGCTTCACATTTTTCTGTATGCTTGAATATTTATTTTAAAAAATACATACAAGGGGTCTTCAAAAAGTTCATGGAAAGACTTGCACTATTTTTTTTTTTTTTTTGTCTTTTTTCGTGTCCGGCAAAGGATCGCAACCCTCAGTGTCGCGCCTGGACCAGACCGGGACCGGCAACGGGATCGCAACCCTTGGTGCTGCATCCGCACCTCGCCCAGCCAGTGAGTGGGAACCGGTCTGTATGTGGGATCCGAACCCTTGGCGGGAGTGCCGCCGCGCTCTCAAGCGGTGCACTGTAGCAGTGCGCCACCGGGCCGGCCCAAGACTTGCACTATTTTTTAATTCCATTTTTCCATGAACTTTTTGAAGGACTCATGTATAAATTTACAAGCTACAAGAACACTTCAAAAAGCTCATAGAAAGATTCATATTATCCTTTAATTCTATTTTTCCATGAAATTTTTGAAGTACCTTGTATATATTTACAAGATACATATATATCAAATGAGCCACTACAGGGGCTGGCTGGTTAGCTCAGCTGGTTAGAGCACAATCTTATAACCTCAAGGTCACAGGTGTGGATCCCCGTACTGCCCAAGCTGCCAAGAAAAACAAAGCCAGGGAAGACCATAGCTGAAAGGGCTGTCCCCTAGAACCACTGGAACATGGCCTTGCTGACACCTTGATTCTGTACTTCTGGTTTCTAGAACTATGAGAATAAATTCTAGTAAAAAAAAAAAAAAAAAAAAAAATTAGCCACCACAAAAATGACATACCTTTGGAAATATTAGAAAATTGATTGATTTAGGATAGGATCACCCAAAGCCATCAAGAGGCAAACAGTCTCAGGCTGTTATTGAATGCAGCCCCAGTGAAAGGATAAAGGTGATCTAATCCTATCCCACTCTCTCCTTAGTCTGAAGGCCTGTTAACATGTCATCGGAGAAAGGAAACGTTACCCAAGAGGAAGGAGGTAAGACAACAAGAGTAGCACCACCTATGGGGGAGAGGCATGAATGTGGCAGACACTAGTACTTAAGTCCCTTGGGTGTCACTCTTGTGGGACAGTTCCCACTCCCTCTGTTCCTTGCCCTCACCCACCCCAACCTTCCACTGACTCCCGTTAGCCTCCTACGCCCCTGCTACTGGGAAGAGATGCTCTGGAAGGAACAGCCCCCACAGTTCAGTATAAATGGGCATTCTGGTGTATGGTGGATACCCCACTCTTATGTGGCTGGCCAATGAGACTCCCGAATGCTCTGTGAGCCTAATCAATCTGAAGCCCCAACAGGACCAACGACCAAGGCTTGCCTCAGGCTCTAGACAACATCTCCACCATTGTCTTTCTAAAACTACAATACAGTCCACGCTTGAAACAAGAAGTCAGGAAAAATCCCTCTGAGAACTGAAGCCTCTCCCCAACTCCCACATTCCATCCAATCCCACAGCATACCCGGGAGTACTGTAGCTTGTCCACAATGTCGTCACTAATGAGGGGAATTAATCCTGTAAAACATAGAAAAGCACTTTTAAAAAGGCCAAATAGCGAAGCCAAAACAAGAACTTAGAAGTCTCCTTGGGAGTGGAGATGGGGGGAGGCCTCCTCCTCTGGCACCAGACACTATACCCTCCCTCTAACCTTCTAAAACCAGCACTCACCAAGCCTGTGAGCGATGAACTCATCATGAAGGACTGAGGAATTGGCATCAATTTGAACCCAGTCAATGGCTGAAAAAATGAAGGAGACATGCAATTTAGCCACCAAATTCACCTAAAGACTTAGAGCAGTAGTTCTCAAGATTTAGGAATCACCTGGTGCTTATTAAATTGCAGATGCCTGGGCCAGGCTGCCAGAGACTCCAATTCCACAGTGCTAGAGTGGGTCCCAGGAATCTGCATTTTAACAAGAACCAGACTCCACATCCCTGCCCAGGTGAATTTAATGCAAAGGGTTACTGTATCACACAGAAAAACACTGACTTAGAGAATAGCACGAGAGTGGAAACATATTTCTCTGAGCTGAATATTTCCATGAGAAGCACTTAAATCTGCTACCTCTGCCAACAACAAATCGAAAAACACAAACTATTTGGGCACTTAAAAGTTAGGGGAAAACTTCACACAAGTAACACAGACTTATGGTCCATACCTCATTTTATGATATAATGACTGGGTCACCAATTTAGTACTTGATTATCACTCAATCAATGACTGTTTACTGAATTCCTTTAGCAGGCAAGGCTTTCAAGCCCACTCACTAGGACTGCACTCTCACACACGCTGGACTTAAATACACATTTATTCATTCATAAACAAACATTTGCATGTAAACAATTAAATCCAAAAATCAAATAGCATTGTTGCCCAACTGCCAAATGAGGGGCATGGACACTATGAAAGTCAGAAGAGGACCAGACACAGCCAGGTCCCAACCTGCTTTGTCCTATTGCTGTCTATTGCTTTCACCAATCCATGCCAAGTAAGGGCCATGACCCAACTTTTTCTACCTCTTCACTACCCCAGCCTCTCCCTTTGGCATGCTTACCCTCCCCTGTGCATGTTAAAATCCTCTGAGCCTCCTAAAAAACAAGCCTCATCTACCCTCCATGCTATAAATGTGATCACTTCCTCCCTTTGAACTCCCCTCTGGCAAAACTCTGTTCAGACTTCCCTTAAGACGCTTGTCATATTTCACCTTGCATCAGACCTGTGGATGTCTTGTCTCTATCTCAAGCTTTGAAAATCCTTGACTCAAGGTCTTGAAATGACTTTGCATTTCTAGCATGGTGCTGAATATTACTTGCATAACTGAATTTGTGGAAAAAGTGGCATCTGGACTCAGAATGTCAGGGCTACATCATGAAATAAAACTCCCTCATTTTACGCATGACGAAACTGAAGCCAAGGCATGAAGTAATTAGGCAGAGGGAGGTCCAGCGCTCCACGCTGAGGTGAAGAAGTAATTGAGGGTGATGGACGAGCTACAATGTTCTTTTGTTTACCAATCATTTGTCCTGCTTATTTCCTTAAAAGTCTGAACACCTGGGCCGGCCCGGTGGCGCACTGCTACAGTGCACCGCTTGGGAGCGCTGCGGCGCTCCCGCCAAGGGTTCGGATCCCACATACAGACCGGTTCTGCTCACTGGCTGGGCGAGGGGTGGGCGCAGCACCGAGGGTTGCGATCCCGTTGCCGGTCCCGGTCCGGTACAGGCGCGACACTGAGGGTTGCGGTCCGTTGCCGGACACGAAAAAAGACAAAAAGGAAAAAAAAAAAAAAAGTCTGAACACCTGATGCAGCAGCTATGGCTTACACTCGTATTTCTTTTACCTAAACCAGACTCTCTGATCTGACACTCAGAAAATACTTGCAGTATTTCATACAAGTATAGTCAATGCATAAAATACCTGCAGCTGAGTGGCTGGAACGAGACCAGAAACAGATCTTCCCTCTTCTAAGTGCCAACTGCGCTTCTTGCTATGTTTCTCCTGACCTACTGATCAAAGTCTACCTCCCATTAGCGTTGTCTGTGGATTCATCTCTCCCCTGCAACCTGACTGTGAGCTTCATTAGGGCAAAAACCCTTCTACACAGATTTGCATTCGCGGTGCCTAACACCATGCCTGGCACTTGTATGCTCCATAAATGCAGCTGAAGGAACAGATTCATTAGAGACATCTACCAGTATTGAACACTCACTAAACGCAAGGCACTTAATAAAGATCACCTCACTTAACCCGAGATATCAGCCCGATAATTACCACTACTGTCCGAATGTTACAGATGAGGAAACTGCAGCTCCCAGTTTAATAACTTGCCCAAGTTTCAGAGACAGTAAGTGAAAACAGTACTCGAACCCAAGTCAGCACACTCCTGAACCCATGCTCCTCAGCACTGCATATACAGTATAAGGGGGCACCTAATAGCTGGGTCAAGGGCACAGGGTCTGACCAAGTCCCCAGCACGGCAGTTTTCTCAGCACCCCCACCCCACGCCCACCCCAAGCCCGAACCAAGGAAAGGAGCCCGGGCGGCGGGGGCGTAAAGGGGGGCGGGAACTGGTGGCCCTGGCAACAAAGAGGCGGGGGTCGCTTACCTATGATAGGCACCTCAGCGATGAAGACCCTCCGAATAGAATTGGCCACCCTGAAGGATCAAAACCCAAGTGGCGTGAGGGCGCCGCAGCCTCCACAGGCCGGCCCCACGCTCCCAAAGCCAAAGCCCTGGCACAGGGGCCGCTCTGGAAGGACACCACCCCCACCCCCGGCCCGGGCCTCCGGCGCTCCAGAGCCGCCAGCCTCCTCCCTCAGTAGCCTTACGCCAGGTCCGTATTCTCGATGATGAACTTGACGTTCTCGTCGGTGAGCTCCGTGATCCGCACCGTGGGCTGGTTGGCGTACGGCATCTCGCCCACCTGCCCGCGGCCTCCGCGTCCGCCCAGCCGCACCTGCGCCGCCGCTGTCACCGGAAGTTAGCCGCGCGGCCCCGCCGCTTCCGCCCAGACTCTCTCGCAGCGCCACCTGCGGCCCGGAGGCCGGAACTGCAACTCTCTTGGAGAGTAATTTGGCAAAACATGCGTACGCCCTTGACTCAATAACAATTCTAAGAATTCAGACTGCAGAAAACTTGCAGTTGTAAATAAGGATATATGTAATACATGTACAGGGACGTCCACGGCAGTACTGTTTGTAATTTTGTAATGGCAAAAGATAAAACTAATTCTCCACTGATAGAGAACTGGTTAAATATACACACAGGAATACTATGAAGGCTTTAAATGTTCATACGTCTATGAATAAACAAAAGTATACTTTAACAGTGCGTGTATACTCTACCAAAATATATTTGTACGATAAGTATATACCCTTTCCGTTCCACCCTCAAGTCTGGATCATGCACTTCTGAAAACTATAGGGAAAGGTACAGTGCTCTTTACTGTAATGCATCATCTACAGTTCTGTTGCAGTGGGTGGGTAGGAGCTCTTCATCTTTGCATGCCCAGTGCCTGGCTGTATGCACCACATAGTGTGTATGCTCAATAAATAATTACAGAAGTCCCCTAAAATGTGGCAGGGGCTATATTTAGGGGGCAGAAGAGTAACCAGAGGATAAAGAGGAGTTTGCCTTAGCAAGGAGTGATACTTTTTCCTGAGACAGAGGAGGGCACTGAAGGGGCCCTTGCTCTACAGGCTGTGTGATCTCAGTAAATTGAGAATTACAGTTGTCTGCTCAGTGTGAGATGGGTGCTATGAAAGGATAAGGGGAGAAAGCAATGAAATTTGGAATAGCTACTGCAGTAACTTGACAGGAGATAGAAAAAATTAGAGAGGTGCAAAAAGGCCCCAGTGGAAGGCCCACAGAAGAGATCTGAAATTCAATTACCTCCTGACATCCCCCAGCAATATTCAGCTGACTTAGGCTGAAGAAAGCAAAGCCAAAATCAGAGTTAACCAGATGTGCAAAGGGAGCCCTGCTAGTGTAGAGGCTGAGAAAAATATTAAAGCTAAAGAATGTATCACTGAAATGGTTAGTGATAGACAAAGGCAGCCACGGGACCTAATGGTCAGGGGGAAGGTCTGTGTCATCATTTTATTGACAGCAAGACCTAGACCCAAAGACAGAGTTGCAATAATTAATGAGTAAGTATTAGGCAGCACCAGGGCCAGAACTCAGGTCTCCTGGCAGTTAGCATCAAGCTTTTCTACAACACTGCTGTCTCCCTCTGGGGTCTTGGAAACTTATCATGTTCTACATGGGAACTAATTACACAACAGGAAACTGCTTCAACCATATTTATTTATTTTACAGAACTCTAAATACACTAATAATCCTGCAACACATGCTGGTGAAATGTGACACCAGGACTGGGATCACACCTTTCGCCAAACAGGAGCATCACTGTCCAGCAGGCACCTGTCTCAGGTGAGACAGCTTTCTGAGAGGGTTCCCAGGAGCAGCATCTCAGGACACCTGAGAGGGAAGGAGCTGCAAGGATCACCTCTGTGTGCTCATGTCTGTGCTGTGCTGGGGATGAGGTGTCACCTTGCAGTAGTTTTGGCTACTGTGACTCTGGCTTAGGAACCCAAGAGCATTTCTAAGAAGGCTGACATGATCAAGGTGACTGTGAGACCACGACAGGAACATGCTGGGTTTCTGTGGCTTAAATGCTTGGACAGCAGTCTCATTTTCCAATCGCAATGTGGAAAGGCATCTGGAGGCTTGGCCTGGCATTAGGAACTGAAGAAGTGGCCCAATCCTAAGCCAGAACCATGTCATCAAGTGCCCTGTGGCTTCCAAGTGGTTGTGGTAATGACTCAGGAGTCTCAGTTTGTTCTCATTAACACCCTGTTACGTGCATGGCACTTCATACTTTTCAAAGTCCTTTCAGTCTATCTGCTCGTTTTCATCCACTCCTTCCTCTCACCGGCGCTGGTTTAGACCTGTCAAGTTCTTGAGCTGATACAGGGATGGAAACAGAGAGAGTGGTGAAGACTTTCCCTGCCTCTAGGACTTGAATGGTAAAGATCAGGATATTCAAGGTGGCAGACATGGCTATGATACAGAGATTTGACATACCAGGGTCCAGGGAGTCAATGATGGTTTTTTCATTTGTTTGTTTTTGGTGGCTGGCCAGTAAGGGGATCTGGACCCTTGACCTTGGTGTTACCAGCACGACACTCTCCCAAGTGATCTAACTGGCCAGCCCCCTAGTGATGTTTTTTGATGCCAGTAAAAAATAAAGAGGTAGGGTATTTGGACTCACGACACTGGGGCTGAGCCAGTGTCAGTCTTATTATTAGCTTTTTGTTTAAGGCTGCAAAATGATGTGGGGTCAGTGACACATGATATAAGTATCACAGGGCCAGAGTGGAATAGGGGGTTGGGCAGGAATGAACCAGGCGGTACTCACCGTCACCGCAGCACCCATGAGTCCTTGCACCAGTGCCTCTCCAGTGGACTTTACCTAGGAATCAGAATCAAATTCCCTTAAGCCTCCAAACACAAACTCAAAGGTAGGGCAAGTAAGACCAATCAGGAGGCCTATGAGCCCCCACCAGTGGAGCGAAGAGGGTCCCGTGTACTGGAAGAAAAGCCCATGGACAACACAATCACCAGTGGGCAAAGCATGGCTCCAGGGGAAGGGCTGGCATGAGGAACAACCTGTCAGGCTCCCTGGGAAGGCCTCCAGCACGGTCTGCTGAGGCCAAAAAGGAACAGGAGAAGCCAGGTGATCCACTACGGCCTGAGGAGGATGGGTATTCCTACTGAGGAGGGTTCCCAAATGACTAAGCCTCAACTACCTGCTTGGCAGTGTGACCCATGTTCATTGCATCCTTAATCCGGTTTTCCAAGAAGCGCCAAGTGTCCTCAAAGTCTGGGGACGAGTCCTGCATCATCACCAGTTCTGTTGTGTTGTAGATGCCAGCCAGCACTGCTCGGCGGGTGTACCAGTTAAACTGCAAAGAAACCCACACAGGAGGGTGGGTTACCACTACTGCTTGGGGGACGTTTGAAGTGGTTCCTACTCGAGACCATGGGGACTCCTGGGCTCTCTCCTGATTTCTTCTCTTCCTCACAGATACAAATGGCCCTCTGGACAACACTACTGTCCCAAATTGGCTGAGCATCAGAATTACCTGGGAAATTAAAAATGCAAGGTCCTAGGCCCAACATCTTAGAATTTAGAGCCAGTGAGCCTGAATTAAGCATCAGGAATCAGGAATAAGTATCCCAGGTGATTTGATTACATCCAACCAATTTTGGAACTGCTGGTGAAAAGACTAAGTCTTGGGACATCTAAGTACCCAGGAGACTCTGTAATCAGCTAGTTACAACAAAACCTTGCCGTGCTCATCAATAAAGGGGGGCTGGGACAGGATCATGGACAGATTACAAACCTGAGTAAAGCTGAGAATTCAAGTCCTTCAGCGACTTCTGACTGTCCTGACAAACTGCTCTTCAGAGGACCAGCTAAGCTGCTTGGTGTTTTATTCTGTTAATTTTTTGTTTTCTAATTTCATTTTCCTACTATCTCTGTTGGTGGTATATTCCCACATGGGGAAAGTTTATTAAAACACTTTGTTATAACTGTGGTGGGAGTGTCTCTGTGTCTCCTCATCCTGGATTCCACAAAGTAACAACACGTTTTAATTTCTTTTATGAATTTTATGAAGGTGAACTTTTTTTTTTTAATTTCCTTCTAGAAATATGATAGCATTAACAAGTCAGATTCTTTCCTGGTGCCTATTTAAAGGAGCTTATTGATCTCTTAGCAAAGTAGGCCATGATGGGCTGGGGAAGGGAGTTTCTTTTTAAAGCAATGGGCATCTCCATGGCATTCTTTTTTTTAAATCAGACTCAGGAAACACACCCACTAAGGAATTCTGCAGAATCCACAACTTCGGAGAGTGATGGAGAAATGGTTATAAAAGGACAGCCCAATCACAAGACCCTCTGATGCCTGTGTGACCACTGTAGGTCAGAAGGAATAATCACTGGTTTGTGGCTAGAATGCTGGTCCCCGAATAAAGATGACCTAGATTCCACTTTGGCTTATTGAGAAAACTTCCTCATACCTTACATGGGAATAATGTTGCAGGCCCCTGAAGGGACTTGTGATCAAAGGAATTTCACAAATTTCCTGAAGAAATGCTTAACCTAAGCCCTTCCCAGTATCCTGTGGGCCTGCAGAAAGCACTCACATCAGTGGACTGGTCCCCAGCATAATGCCACATGTCATCCACCATGCTGGTGAGCAGGCTCAGGCTGGGCGGGATGTTGTGAGGGAGCATTAGAATGCTCAAGGCCTGAGGAGAGAAAGACAGAGGAGTAGATACTGCACACAGGTAGCAACGGTACACAGGTGGCCAGAGTCTCACCTCCACAGAGTACACGAGGGGCCTGCCCAGCTCTGTTTCTCTGAGACCCACCATCTCCACCCACCAGTGTGAGCTCCTGGCAACTAACAACCCTGACTACAGCTGAGGGGAGCCAGGGGCATATTCCTGTCCTAAGCTGGCCCAGTCAAATTCTCCATCCGTAGCATCTGGAATTGGGAATGCACACAGCCAGAGGATCAAGACTAGTCTTTCCCAAAGGACAGAGAGCAGGATGGGGGAGGGTACCCCATTCTGTCACACAGAGGAAGCAGAGATAGGAAGGGAGTTAGGGGGTGGTTTCCAGAGCCAAATTCTAGGCCATTCCCAGGGCCCAGTAGCATGCCTGCCCTTGGTGCACCACTGCAGTACCACAGTAGATTCCTCCCTGTTTTTTTGCTTCACTCAAGTTGATTTCTGTTTCCTGAAACAAAAAATGCTTCAAATAACATAAGTGACGGCACGAACACGAGACTCCTCCATAAGCAGACATCAGCTCCTCCTGGCCTGATAGGATAAGTTCTTCCCACTTTACCAACTCAAAATCCATTGGCTGTGGCCTGGGGGAGCTGGTCAGAGA